CTAGGTAGACTCGTTAGTAGGGAACAAGAAGGAAGAAAAGACAATAGAGACTCTATAGGACTAATGTCATTTAAGATACGAGGGGGTAACCTGTTGATGAGATATGTGGCAGTTAACACAGCTTCTCCCTAATAATTTTCTTGGAACATACATTTAAAAAAGAAGAGCTCTAATTACTTCATGAAGATGACAATTCTTTCTTTCTGCAACCCCATTTTGTTGAGGGGTGTTAACACAAGTTAGTTCCTGAACAATACCATTATGAGACAAAAAATTGAGAAATTCATGATTCACATATTCAGTACCATTATCAAACCTAATTCTTTTGATAATATTTCCAAATTGATTTTAGAAAAGATGGAAAAAATTAACAAAAATTTGAAAAACTTCAGATTTATTTTTCATAAGGTATGTCTACATGACACGGGTACAATCGTCAATAAAAGCTTAGATCTACTCAAGAAAAGGTCAAACAGGTCATCACAAACCCTAGGAACAAACTCAGGAGACTCCGGCGACTCGCTGTGGTGGCGGCAGTGACTGGGTCACACTAAGAAAAAACGAGTAGAACTTAAAACTCAGATATACTCAAATGTAGGCCAAACGAGTCGTCACCGACCTTAGGAACAGAGTCAGGAGTCTCAGGCGACCCTTTCTGTGGCGGCGGCGGTGAGTGGGTGTCGCCAGAGGTGGGCGCGTGGGCTACACGCACCGACGACGGTGGAGGCGCATGGCGGCTCGTGGAGGATCCTCTCACGGAGCGACTTCTAGCATTGTGGTCGAGTTGGGCGCACCTTTCTGCCCTATCAACGACCCCAATCGACGACGACGACAACGACGATGGTCGGGCAGCGGCATCGGCACGACTATGCAGCGGCGTTTATGGTAGCCGGTGTTGGGCGTACCTTTCTGCCCTATCAACGACCCCAACCGACAATGGCGACAACAACGGTGGTCGAATAGTGGCAACAACGGGACTGTGCAGCGGAACAGAGCTCCAAGATCGGAAGCTCTTGATACCAAGTAAAAAATAAGACTTATTTTATTATTCTCAATCATTGAAAAATACATTCTCATACCCTCTATTTGTAATAATTTAGTTCTCCTAAAAAGGAAAATAGAGAAACTAGAAAAACTAGAAAAAATAAATTAAAATAAAAGATTATGTATCTATTTCATGTAGTTAGGAATATTCTAAAGATATTATCTCAAATTACAACATTAACAAATTTTTTGAAATACTTTTATACTACACTAACGTTTTTATATTATATATATATATATATATATATATATATATATATATATATATATATTCAAATTAAGAGAAAAATAATAATAAACAAAAATAATTCTCACTAATTTTAAATAATATGAAATCATATTATATAGATTTATTATATAATAACACTATGTAATTTATTTACGTTACCATTAATCTAACTTGAATGTTGATCTTCTACAAACACAATTTTGATTTATCTTAGAGAAAACAAGTATTTAAGAGAATGACAAATAGAAAGTTGAAAACGTTCGTAAAATTGTTAAAATATTTACAAAGTATGTCTACGGTCCAGTAAGAAAAAAAGTAAAAAAAGAAAAAGAATATATATATATTAGAGAGAGAGAGAGTTTAAAATCTATTTATTTTAATAATTTTGATTAAAAACTATATTAATGATGCGAGTTTTGTAATGAAAGAAAATTATCCATTTCAAAAGTTAAAAAGTAACATAACGCGAATTTCTAAAAATATCTGTACGCGTTGAGCAATAATGGTGTAAATGATAATGAAGTCAAAAGTGAGGTTAAAGGCACCAAACAATGTTATTTTTTTCCTTGTTTAGATATATTCCCCACCCAAGATGTTCTTTCCCACGTTACATTCGCCCCCAACTATGTCTCGTCAACCTTTTACTTCAACCATATGTTAATAGTATCTACCACATTTTTTTGTTCTGATGCCTTTTATCATTCTTTAATTATATATATTTTTGGGTAATTTATTAGATGAACCTAAATTATGTAAATTAAAACATCGCCTTAAACTGTCATTCTTTTAATTAAAAATTATATAGATCTATTTGATAAAACTAATAAATAAATTTGTAAATTAGTTGATAAACCGGTTTATAAATATAAAATTACATAAAAAGTATAATTACTTAAGTTTTATCACATAAATAAAAATTATAATTCTAAACAAAAATATACTATTATGTCATTACAATTTTTAATTTTAAAATAGTACTTTCATTTATGCTGAAGCTTGTATAATTTTTTATTTGAACAGAGTCATTTATTTAACTGCGTTATTTAATTAATATTAATTTAATTTGTTTTTTATGAATTTAAATTTTTAAATTTATAATTTAAATTGATGTTACAATTTTTTTTTACATTTTTATTGTATGTAATTTACATATAATATCAATTAAATATTTTCTTACTTTGCTTTGTAAGGTTGATATTTTTTTTTTAATTTTAACTACATAATAATTTTAAAAAATAATCTAATAAATATTAAACATAGTGTGATAATTACTTGTGTTTATAAGATTGAAATAGATAATAATACATATAACATTCTAATTTAGTAGATTTACATTACAATGAAACAATTACAAATTAGGTATGAAGTTATAAACATATAATATGTATTTAGAATCTTTTATGAATTTACAATTTTCATAATATATAATATTTTATTTTAACAATGAAGGATTTACAAAATATAAAATTATATATTTATGCATTATCTATAATCTATATGACCATCAAATTGTCTTATTATTTCTCAACCTTCCTACTATTGTATTATCCTATGTTATATATAACGCACAATCATAGCAGGTAAATAAATAACAACATACACAAAAAGTAATAATTATTCACTTGATCCTTACTTGGGTGGAAAAGTATTAAATTGGTTCTCGCTTTTAAAAAAATTTCAATTGCATCCTTACTTTTGAAAAAGCGACTCAATTAAATCTTTTTAAAAAAAATTACAAAGCATTATGATATGTCATGTGTCCATCTGTAATTTTTTAATTTCTTTTATTTTTACATTTTTTAGCAAATAATTTTGTTGTCACATGTTAGGTCCCTAATGTGACATGTGACACTGCTAGTTACATGTGGCAGTAACAATGTCACATGTCAATGTTAGTGTCTAGTGTCACTTTTTTTTATTTCAATTTAGTCCTTATATATGTTTCTTTTATTCAATTTAGTTTTAATTTTTCTCAAAATGGAACAATATTGTCCCTCTCCAAATCAAATTGAGACCAAATTTATTAGTTTTATAAATGTGATACTATTACTTTTATTAAAAAGAACATTTTAACATATTATATTGTTATATATTATTAATCCAAGTTTTGTTAATTCGGTTTTTTATAAGATTAAAACTAAGTAAGTATAAATATTTTTTTTAAAAAAGTAAGGATTTAAAATTAATATATTATTAATTCATGTTTTTATAAGAACAAATTAATTAATATCATTTATATAAATAATACATTTGGTCTTTTTTAATTGAGATCAGATTTGTATAAATGTTATACTAATATTTATAATTTAGTGTTAAAAGTCATTATTAACAAAAATGGATGGTAATAATATATAATAAGGTAATATATTAAAAAGTCATTTTTAATAAAAAAATTAGTATAGCATTCATACAAATAATAAATTTGATTTCAATTTGGAAATAGATAATATTGTTCCATTTTGAAAAAAAAAATTGGATTAAATTGAATCAAATATATATATATATATATATATGGATTAAATTCAAATAAGACAATGACATCATATGAGCAAATCATGTACATCAATCTCTTTCAATCAATACATCATATGAGCAAATCATGATAACTACCTCCAAAAGATTTTTGTGTATAAAGTCGATTCTAGAGATTATGCACTGTCATAAGGATCCTGATAGCATTTTGGCTTATATAATCATGGCTCTATCAAGTCTTCGTATATGACCAGGCTAATTCACCAATATAAGCCATAAATGGTTCATTTAGAGCCAGTTCTCGTTGTAGGAACCTTCATCTACTTTCACAAACTAGATATCTTACTCTCTGTGAGTTAGGATACCTAGTAGAGTTTGCATAATTTCCTTTTGAGCCCCTACTCAATACACCTACCACATGAGTGAAATGTTTTTTCACTTGAAAGTCATTCCACATTTAATCATTTCACAATCACACATTATCATCTCATTCAACATTTAAACATCACTAACATTCATTCACATATATGCATCTAATTCACAGTCAACATTACAAAAATAGTCACCACAGTCATAAGAAAATAGCCAAAAGAATCACACTTTAGCTCATTTATCACACTATGTCATACATATGTATTTTACCTTAATCCAAACTCATCTCATAACATATTAATAATTCATCATTTTTTCTATTACATTAGCATCACATTCAATTACAATAGTTTCATTAAAATATATTAGAACTATGAAAAACATTATTTTAACCACAAAGCTTTAATCAAAGATCTCAATGATCAAAATGAAGAACCATAAATCAAGAACTATATTGAATTTTAAAATGTAAGTTGCATCTGACGATTTCTTAGTGGTACCTAGCGTCAACAAATCAATAAACTCACTAACTATTATGTCCATCAATATTAAAATTCTTTCTAATCTCAACAAAGTCAATAACTATTTTCTAATTTACTCTCACATTGTGTAACTAATTTTACTATAAATCAATTTTAAAAATATCAAAAACTTATTTAATGTGAAAAAAAATAGTTAGAGGTGATATCAAAATTTTGCAACCAAAAGTAAAATTATTAAATTTTTGAACGAGTTAATAAGTTAATTTTAAGACATATGATTATTGTAATTTAAGGATGAATATTACAACCTTTACTCAATGGCAATTGTGTTATTAGCCTTAAAACTTAAGGGTTAACAATAAACTCTTTCCGTCCAACACTTACCTATAAAACCCACACAACACACCATTGCTGCTTCCTGTGTTCTCACAAACTCTCCTTACCACTTCCAATTTCCACTCACTCACTCACTCTCATGACTTCCCACTACGAACTCCAACTGCATCTCATGTCTGCGCGTGGTTTAAAAAACGTGAACTGGCGCCACGGCGCGAACCGCCCATACGCCGTCGTTTGGGTGGACCCTAAGAACAAGTGCTCCACGAGCGTCGACGAGGACGGCGACACCGAAGCCACTTGGGACCAAACCCTAGTTATTCCTCTTCCTCCTGAGCCTCTCGAGAATCTGACGCTCCATGTCGACGCGGTTCACGCAGGCTCCGAGGAGGACACCGAGCCGCTTATTGGCTCGGCGCGGCTCAAGCTCGTTGAAGTCCTTGAAGAAGTTGGAGTTAGAGTGCGCGTGAGCCGCACTCTCTCGCTGAACCGCCCTTCGGGAAGACCCCAAGGGAAAGTGGACGTTAATGTGGTTATAAGAGAAAGTGGCGGCTACCGTACGCAGGATGCGTATTATGCGCCTCCTATAGGTGTAAGGGATTATTCCCCTGTGTCGCAGGGCTATGGGTACCCGTCTCATCAGGATAATAATAGTTATTACCATTCTGCGACCCAAACGACGTCGTATGGACAAGGGAGTGAGTACGCACCACAGGAAGAGAAGAAGAGTAAGTTTGGGGGGATGGGGACAGGATTGGCTGTGGGCGCGGTCGCTGGGGTTTTAGGTGGAATCGCGCTAGTGGAGGGTGCTGATTTCCTGGAGGAGAAGATTTCCGATGACGTGGCAGATAATATAGAGGATGATCTTGGATATGATGAAGATGATATCTAGAGAATAATAACTTTTCGCCTAACAGATATGAAAAAGAAGGAAAAGAAAAAGAATTTGAGGAAATATTTCTTCTTTTTCATTTATGGTTGTTTGCTCTAAACTTTTTTTTTTCTTTTGTTTTATCGTGGTTGAATGCGTGTCCACTTTGCATATTTCTCTTTCTGTATTCCTTCAGTTGTCGTGTTTATCACGATTATTATACAAAGAATAATTATTTAGGAATTGTAACACAATAAGGTTTTGTTTGATTAAAATAAAATTTACATATATTCTACATGTGATATCTCTAACACCCAAAAATCATAGGTCAAATACAAATAATATATTTCATGAATATGTTTCTTTGACGTTGGATTTACATAAAAAAAGGGGAAAAATGTTATATTGTTGTGTTCATTTTTCCTTTAAAAAAATTAGTTGTGCCCATTCTAGCTGCTTGACTGCTACAAAAGCACCCAAGGCTTGGACGTGATGTTACCATTGATTTCATTGGGGGAAACCAAGAAAAGGTCTTGGTCATGGTTTGAATACTTTCTTATTTTGTAATTTGTTTTGCCATATTGAATTCATATATTTAATTCATAAGTTATTATCATTATATTTGAATACTACATTCTTTTGTGATTTTATTCATTAGAACAAAAATCTCACAAATGAAATTAAAAACTCATAAGAAAAGGAAATCGACTAATGAAATTAAAATTTACAAGAGAGGAGTTTTAAAATTTATTTTTCAAACATTTCTATGTAAAATTATGGGTTAAATATGTTTTTAGTCCCTGAACTATCAGACGATTTTGTTTTTAGTCCCTGCTCAGAACTTTGATGGTTTTTTAGTCCTTATAGTTTTGAAACTCTGAGTATTAGTCCTTAAAAATGGACGGCGTTAAGTTTTTGAAGATGTGGCAAACGGCGATCCCCACGTGATCACTGATCTCTGCCTTCACTCTCTGCCACGTGGGATGTTTAACTGTTGAACTGAGATTAAGTCAGTTAAGCACTTCGTTGATTGAAATTAGATATAGGGTTCAGAATTTGTCAAAAGTAAATATTTGAATTGGGGGAAAACGTAGTTTTAGTGGAAGCATTGTAGTGGAAACCTTTGACAGGAAGCATTGTATCTTGGTTGTCCTTGCGGTGGTGGTTGCGGTGGTGGTTGCGGTGGTCGTCAAAGACAAGCGTAAAGACAAGCGTAAAGGTAAGTTAAGCTATTGTTTTTGT